GCGTAGCTAGCCATAATATTCGGATTTCCTCGGTTGTAATCTTCCCCAAGTCTTGTTTATTAAAGACCGTGTACCCAAGGATTCGATGCAGAAGTCTGATGGCTGGGTGCATGATCTGACTGGCTAAAGAGTACTTGGAGTTGAAGGCGTCCATTCTCGAAATGACCTTCCACCAGTGAAGGGGCTCATAAGCATGGAGGCCCGCATGCTCGGGGAAGAACATATCGGCATCGGGGTTGAAATCCAGCAGTTGGTTAAACTGGCGGAGGGTGAAGGTTTCTTTTTTGTTAAAGAGTTGGAAGGAGATGGAGAGATCATTATCTCCTGCGGCATGGGTTTCGAAGGAAGCAAGAAACTCTAGGGTAGGCTCTTTGTAGGTTCGATAGGCACTTGACACAAAGGACCCAAGCCCGAGGTTGTTGAACAAGAACCAACAATCCTCATCGATGCCAAGCTTGGTTGTGGTAGAGTGATGGTAATGCTTGGTTGGTCTCAACTTCCTGTTTAGGAGGTTGTCATAGATGGGTTTATGGTTTTTGTTGTGGAATTTGAGGGGTGGTAGAGGTGGTGGAGCGGTTTGGGGTGTAGGTTCATTTTGTTGGGGGTTGGAAGAGGATGAACCTTGAAGTTCCTTCCCACTCTTTCTCTTCTTAGAACCAAACACCATGATTATTTACTCAAGGTTTAATCACCAAGAAACACTCCCAACAAATCACAACTATAAACACCCACAACAAATTTCCAAAACCAAGCAATCATCACTAAGAACACTTCCAAGAGACACCAAGAACAACCTACAACAAAGCAATCTATACCAAGAGACAACTATGATAAACAAAAATCCTAAAATCAATAATGCTCAAGATAATAGATGAATACAAATAGGAGTTCAAGCATCAACAATTCCAACATAAAAAATCACAAGCATAAAATTTTCTCAAACACAAATATACTTCAAATTCAAAGGAAATATAGAGTAAGGGAGAAATTTATACCAACAATGAGCTCAATCAATTACTCTTACTAGCCTTTGAAGAAGCAATGAGTCCCACCTCCAAGAACTCCTTAATGGTGGAGAATCAGATTTTTGGGTTTTTGGGGGTGAAAAATCAGATTTTTGGTGAGAAAATTTGTAGAAAAGTGAGGGAATTGTTGAAATTTGATGGAATTTGATGATTTGGGAGGAGAAATTGAAGAGGAATGGGTTAGGGTTTGGAATGGAGTAAGGTGTAGAGAGAGAAAGGGGAAAAAAAACTGATATGGAGTATATGTGATTTTCGGGCATATGGCTGAGAATTAAAGGAGAGGTCGAAGCTCTGAAGGGCCGCGCCCACGGCATTCCCTGTCCGCGCCCGCGGGTTCGTCTGCCGCGCCCGCGGCTTTGGGGTTTCTGGTTCCTGTGATTCTGAACTGCAGGATGTCGCGCCCGCGAGGTGGAATAGCGCGCCCGCGGAGGTGCCTGTCCGCGCCCGCGACTGTTTCTGTCCGCGCCCTCTCCCGGCATCTATGATCCATATCCACTTCCTTTTCAAAAATCGCAATCCCCTGCCGCGCCCGCGGGGTACGCCGCGCCCGCGGGGTACGCCACGCCCGCGGGGCCTTCTTTCCGCGCCCGCTCCGAGTAATTCCCAGGCATCTCCACTTTATCATAAAAACAGGGGAGGGGCCTGCCGCGCCCGCGGGTGGCCTGTGCGCGCCCTCTCCAGGGCTCTCTCTGGGAATCTCCACTTTCTCTTCTTCCAAACCCCTTTTCCTTTCCAAACCCAACTTAATAGATCAAGCACCCAAAGATCAAGGTACCTAATAAATGAACAAACACACACAATAAGAAATTGAAGGAAAAATCATTCAAAAATAACCAAAGACAAAAAAAACACAAAATCAAAAGGGTTGAGAACTCGGGTTGCCTCCCGAGAAGCGCTTCTTTATAAGGTCATTAGCTTAACCATTTCACATTATATTCAAGAAAGTGACTTAGGATCCGGCGGATCGAGCCTCATGCACTCAATCATGCCAATTTGATCATTGCAATGGTAGAGCTTCAAACGGTGGCCGTTGACCATGAACTTGTTCCCATTCGCTTCTAACTCAAAAGACCCATAAGGAGTTGTTTTCGAAATTATGAAAGGCCCCGACCATTTTGACTTAAGCTTTCCGGGAAACAAACGGAGCCTAGAATTGAATAACAAAACCTTGTCCCCAACCTTAAAGCTCTTGTTCCTTATATGTTGGTCGTGCCACCTCTTGGTTCTCTCCTTGTAGAGTCTCGAGTTCTCATAGGCATCATAGCGGAGCTCCTCAAGTTCATTGAGCTTAAGTAGCCTCTTTTCACCCGCCAAGGTCATATCCATATTGAGCTCCTTGATCGCCCACCAAGCTTTGTACTCTAACTCAACCGGCAAATGACAAGCTTTTCCATAGACCAATCGGTAAGGAGTAGTACCAATCGGGGTCTTGTAAGCCGTCCTTAGAGCCCAAAGCGTATCATCAAGCTTGAGAGACCAATCTTTTCTAGACTTGTTTACCATCCTCTCAAGAAGGTTCTTGATCTCCCTATTTGATACCTCCACTTGTCCTTGAGTTTGGGGGTGGTATGGTAGGCCGATTTTATGATGAACCCCATAGAGTTTGAGGAGAGCTTCAAGTTGTTTCTTGGCGAAGTGAGAACCACCATCACTAATCAGAACTCTTGGAACCCCGAATCTTGGGAAGATGATCTTTTTTAGAAGCTTGAGCACAACCTTGTGGTCATTGGTGGGCGAGGGTATATCTTCGATCCACTTGGTCACATAGTCCACCGCCACCAATATATAGAGATTGCCACAAGAGGAAACGAAAGGCCCCAAAAAGTCGACCCCCCATACATCAAAGGGTTCAACCTCCAAAATATTTTGATGAGGCATTTCATCACGCTTGGTTATGCCCCCACTTCTTTGGAAATTATCACATCTAGCTATGAATTTGTGGGCATCCTTGTGCATTGTTGGCCACCAAAGAAGAGATTGAGAAATTTTAGCCACAGTCTTTTCTACTCCTCCATGCCCACCACATGGCAATGAGTGACAATGCTCAAGCACCCCTTCGATCTCATGATCCGGAACACATTTTCTAAAAAGCCCATCTCCACATTGCTTGAATAAATAAGGGTCGTTCCAAAAATACCTCCTCACTTCTTTGAAAAACCTTTTCTTTTGTTGAGAGGAGAACTCCGGGGGAACGACACCACATGCTAAGTAATTGGCAATGTCCGCATACCAAGGGCTTGGTGTTGATGCAATGGCCATAAGAGCCTCAAAACCCACTTCTTCATTGATAGGCACGTCTTCTTTAGTCTCAAAAGGAAGTCTCGATAGATGATCCGCTACATAATTTTCCGCCCCCTTTTTGTCCCTCATCTCCATGTCAAAGTCTTGGAGAGAAAGAACCCAACGAATGAGACACGATTTTGCTTCCTTTTTGGTCATAAGGTAGCGGACCGCGATGTGATCCGTGTAGACTATCACCTTTGAGCATATGAGGTAAGACCGAAACTTATCCATGGTAAAGATAACCGCTAGCATTTCCTTCTCCGTTGTGGTATAATTTTTTTGAGCTTCGTCGAGCGTTCTACTTGCGTAGTAGATGACACAAGATCTTCCTTCTTTCTTTTGCCCAAGCACGACCCCCACTGCAAAATCACTTGCATCGCACATTAGCTCAAAAGGCAAACTCCAATCCGAAGCGTGCACAACAGGAGAAGAGATGAGGGCTTCCTTGAGCTTTTGGAACGCCTCAAGGCAAGCCTCATCAAAATTGAACACAACATCCTTTTTGAGTAACTCGGTTAAGGGTTTGGCGATAGATGAAATTTTTTTGATAAACCTCCGGTAAAAACCGGCATGCCCAAGAAAAGCTCTCACTCCTGTGACGGAGGTAGGAGGGGGCAACTTAGCAATCACCGAAACCTTAGCCGAGTCTACTTCAATGCCCTTTTTTGATACTTTATGGCCTAGGACAATACCTTCTTCGACCATAAAATGGGATTTTTCCCAATTCAACACTAAACTCGTCTCTTGACACCTTTTCAAAACTTTTTCAAGGTTAATAAGGCATGTGTCAAAAGACGATCCACCAACACTAAAATCATCCATAAAAACTTCAATTTCTTTCTCAAGCATTTCAGAAAAAATGGAAGTCATGCATCGTTGGAAAGTTGAGGGAGCATTGCATAACCCGAATGGCATTCTTCGGTATGAAAATATCCCATACGGACACGTAAAAGTAGTTTTCTCTTGATCATTTGGATGGATAGGGATTTGGAAAAAACCGGAGTATCTATCCAAAAAGCAAAAGAAAGCATGATGGGAGAGTCTTTCCAACATTTGATCCATGAAGGGGAGAGGAAAATAATCTTTCTTAGTGTTCTTGTTCAACTTCCTATAATCAATGCACATCCTCCATCCGGTGACCGTCCGGGTGGAGATTTCCTCTCCTCCTTCTCCCTTGGCAATGGTCATTCCACCCTTTTTGGGAACCACGTGAACCGGGCTAACCCACTTGCTATCGGAGATAGCATAGATTATACCCGCCTCACGCAATTTCAAAATTTCCTTCTTTACTACCTCTTGGAGGTTGGGGTTTAACCTCCTTTGAGGTTCAATGGAGGTGGATTGATCATCCTCAAGGTGAATACAATGCATGCATAAAGAAGGGCTAATACCCTTAATATCGTCAATGCTATACCCTATCACATTTCTATATTTTCTCAAAACAACAATCAATTTTTCCAAATCAAGACCATTAAGGGAAGCATTGACAATAATGGGGTATTCTCCTTCATTTCCAAGATAAGCATATTTCAAAGAAGGGGGAAGGGGTTTGAGTTCTACCTTGGGAGGAGGCTTAGAACTCTCCTCCAATTTTTCTTCCTCATGCTCAAGCTCATAATGCTTAGTACCACTCTCTTCTTCCTCTTTGGCTTCTTCAATGGCCATAGCAAATTCCTTTGCTTCTTGGGAGAATTAATCTTCCTCACATGTGAGAGCTACGACCATAGGATCTTTAGGACTCATGACAACCCTTCCCAAACGATCTAGCTCTTCATTGACAACATCAACCCTATAGCACTTCTCAACCATGGGGGTCTTGAGTAGCTTAGAGAATTCAAAGATAATTTTTTCATCGGCTACTTCACATGTAATGGTATTATTCTTGCAATTGATTACCGCCCCCAAGGTTTTAAGAGCTTCACAGCCAAAAATCAAAGGTGTATCCACATCTTCTTCCATATCCATCACTACAAAGTCACATGGCGCATAGATATGCCCAACTTGAATAGGGACATCTTCAAGCTCACCACAAGGTAGCTTCACCGAATGATCGGCCAATTGAATGGTTTTCCTTGTGGGGATCATCTCAATTTTAAGCTTTTGAGCAATGGATAGAAGTATCAAACTAACACTTGCTCCGAGGTCGGCTAGGGCACCCCTAGCTTCCATGTTCCCAATCTTGACCGGCAAGGTGAAGCTTCCCGGGTCCTTTTGCTTCTTGGGCATTTTGTGTTGAACAAGTGCGCTCACTTGATGGGGAAGAGTGATAAGCTCGTCATTGAGCTTCCTTTTGTTGGTGAGAATGTCTTTCAAGAACTTGGAGTATGAGGGCATTTGTGTGACAACCTCAATGAAAGGGAGGTTAATGTGTAAGTTTTTCATCACACTTAGAAACTTTGCAAATGTATCGTTCAATTTCCTCTTCGCAAGCCGACCTGGAAAAGGAACCGGTCCATCAAGGTTTCTAGCCTCACTAGAAGTTGGGGATGTCACCACATCCTTAGTCTTCTTTTTCTCCATACTCTTCTCTTTCTCATCAACCTTCACTTCTTCAACTTTTTTATCATCACTCATCTCTTCTTCTCCCTCCTTCTTTTCCTTACCATCCTCTTCCTTGGGACCCTCATAAGATGTACCCGATCTCAATGTGATTGCCTTGCAAGAGTCGGGTTTTACAATATTGGAAGGGTTGGTTTGTGATTGTCCGGGCAAAGTGGAAGATGAGTTGAAAGGAACTCTCTCGGCCAATTGTGCTAGTTGTGAATCAACCATCTTGTTATGAGCCTTGACTTCTTGCATTTGTTGATTCATGGCTTGAAGTTGTTGAAGAATTTGAGTTTGAGTAGAATCGGGTTGAGATGCTTGCTCTTGACTTTTTTGAGTTGCTTGGGTTTGATTTTGGTATTGGTGTTGATTATTGTGTTGGTTGTTTCTTGGGTAGTTTCCTCTTTGATTTTGGGTTTGGAATGGAGGAGGGTTTTGATATTGGGTGTTGGAATTGTATGGTTGTTGAGCTTGTTGATTCCATTGTTGAGGTTGGGTTGCAAATCCGGGTGGTGGTTGTTTCCAAGCTACTCCTCCACCATTTCCCCTATACCCTTCTTGCCTTTTGTTGTATGCCGCTACATGCTCCGGGCTCAACCCGCCACAATAGGATGTATCATGGTTGGTGCCACCACAATTTTGACAAGAGAAAGAGTTGACTTGGGAGGAGCTTGAACCACTAGCAACACTTGTATTCAACTTGGAAAGCCCTTTTGTCAACATCTCAATTTGATGTTGCAATTGATCGACCTTCTCCAACTCATACTTCCCACCTTTCTTTGGCGCATTCCTCCTTCTTCCTCCCCAAGAGTAGTTTTTAACTACCTCTTCGATCGTTGCTTCAACTTGATTTTGAGGAACTTTGATCAATTGTCTACCCGCCCCCGCATCCAAATTAGCTCGAGACATCGGTTCCAAACCATCATAGAAGAACCTCATGAGTAAGCTTTGATTGTACTCATGGTGAGGACATGCTTGCACCAACTCTTTAAACCTCTCCCAAGCTTCACTAAGGCTTTCCTCCGCCTCTTGTTCAAAAGATGCTATCTTCCTACTCATCTCGGCGGTTTTCTCTTCGGAGATGAACCTCTTCAAGAATGCTTAAATAATTTCCCTCCATGTCGTGAGAGAATTAGGCTTGACTTGCTTGAGCCACTTCTTTGCTCTCCCCGCAAGAGATTGCCGAGATAGGTGCATCCGGATGTATTCTTGAGAAACTTGGTTGGTTTGTATCATGGCACGGAGTTCGAGGAACCTATCAAGGTGCTCAATGGGGTCTTCACTTGGCGAACCCGAGAATTGCTCCGCTTGAACCATTCGAGTGTATTGAGGATGGATGGTGAAGTTAGTTTCATTGACGGGTAACAATATCCCACCGGTGAGCTCATAATCCTCCGGATTACCGAACTCACGAAATAATACATCCACTTGTTGTCCTGCCATTTCGTCACCTTGGGAATGTGAGGAACAAGATTCACTTTCACTATCAAAGATTGCACCAAAACCTCGTCCCTCTTCTTGATAGAGTCTACGGACTTGTCTCAAGGTTCGGTCAATTTCGTGATCAAGGTTGTGAGTAGGTGGTCCTTGAGATCTTCTTTGCATTCACCAAAGCTAAGCAAACAATTAGCAATGACTAGCAAGTGGAAAAGGAACTAAACAAAAGCAACAAAATCCACAAATTACGCAAATAAGTGTGCAAAACTAGCCGTCTCCCCGGCAACGGCGCCAAAATTTTGATCGGTGGACAATAGGTCGTTAGTTTACTATCCTAGATAAAAATTACAATTTATAACTCTTATCCGAACTCTATCAAATTTTGCTTTAGATAGCGGTAAGGTAGGGTCGAATCCCAAGGAAACGGGGGTTTAGCACAATTAATACGAAATCGAGGAGAAATTGCTAGTAACAAAAAGGGGTATTTGTATTTGTGTTTGAAGAATTCTATGGACAAACCAACTACTATTGAGCCTAGAATAAACTAGAAATAAGGGAAGTAGATTAAACACTTTTAAAAGCAAATAAATGGACAAGATTAGAGAGATAACAATGTCAAAAGCACTAGGGAGAGGGGGATTCAATCATGAACAAAGAGTATTAAAGAAAACCGAAGGGAAACCGATTCTAGGAGTATAAGCTCTACCTAGGATAGCTCATTCTCATGCAACTACCCAAGCAAGTCGATGGAATCATTCACACCTAGATTAAATCATTCTCATGCATTCAATCAAGGGCTAGATTCTTGGGATTAGAGGTGCACACACTAACTCCAAGCATATTATGGCTCAAATCATCAACTCAAGAATAAATCCCAATCAATAATCAATAGATATTAAAATACACATGATTTTCACCCCCTTCCCTAGCTAAAAACCTAAGCTAGAAGGAAAGGAATAGCCATAACAACTAACATAAGCATGTATTCAATACCAACACAACCTAACATGATTCTAACTTGAAAGGAAAATCAAAGAAACTAATAAAGCTTGAATATTTATGGAAATAAACTCAAGTAAGAGCAATAAAACAAAGAAGATCAAAAACTAGAGAAACAAAAGTAAAGATTGATATTATAAAGATGAAAGATTACCAAATCATCAAAGTAGTAGCAACAATCTAGAAGAAAGCTTGAATATTTGATTACAAAGATTGAATCTTGAACACTAGTGTTTTCTCTCTCTAGAAACCATGAACTTCTCTCTCTACAAGTGGTTTTTGGGGCCAATGGAATAGTGGATGCTAAGAAACTCAAGCAAGGGACTATTTATAGTCTTCTACCAAAAGGAAGAAAAAGGGCAAGGGAGAGGGCTCTCCAAACAGGCAGCCGCACCCTCTCCAAGCTGGGTAAATAGCCTCGTAAAACCCAGAAAGCCGCGCCCGCGGGGGAAAGTGCCGCGCCCGCGGCCCCAATGCTCCGCGCCCGCGGCTCGCCATCTCCACTTTCTTCTACTAGCTTCAGACTTTTCCTGTCCGCGCCCGCGGCTTACAAGCCCGCGCCCTCGGCCCATCAGAACAGCGCGCCCTCTCCATCTTGGCATCTCCACTTCTTTGGCAAGCTCCTTTGGCATCTCCACTCGAGCTATTGATTCATTAATCGCACATAAGCGCTAGGAGCTGTCAAAACACTCAAAAAGGAGGTAAAAACTAGAAGAAAAGACAAAAGGGGAGGAAAAATACGAGAGGGAGCTAAAGTGACTAAAATCAAGATAAAAGGGGTGAAAAGAGGCATAAGCAAGTGACAAATCCGGGGGAAATCGGTAGTAAAAAGGGTTAAAATGGTGGCATAAATGCCACACATCAGAGCTCCAAGAGTTGCTCCTCTACTTAGTCCACGAGATTCAAATGAGCCGTCCACCGATGCTAGATTGGTCGGGTGAAAGGGAAACACCACGATCACCACCTTTGCGGACAACCGGCACCACCATGAACACTACCACCGTACACAAGATGTGCTAATGAGGGGAGAGAGATCCATGAGAGAGAGAGAGAGAGAGAGAGAGAGAGAGAGAGAGAGAGAGAGAGAGAGAGAGGTTGGCTTATGTTTGCTAATTAGGGTTTGATTCAATGATCACTAAATCTTATATCAACCCTAGGCACCTAGTCTATTTATAATCATATTATAATTAGACTAGGAAGCAAAGCCCAAACCCTCTAAACTCCTCCATATGGCCGGCCACCTAGAGTGATGAGGCCCAACATGGGCCTCTTCCTTTTATTCTCAATCTAGGCCCTTTGTGTGACCTTATAAGATCCATTCAATTGAGCTTTAGGCTATTTTACTAGTCCAAGGGTCTTAAGTACCTCTAGCTATGATAAAACGACGACCCAAAAGAACGAACTTAATTATCTCCATAATTTGATCCATTATAAATCTAGTAATTGCACTTGACAAAGACATGAAACCTTCGCACATAAACGCAAAAATGCATAAAAATAGAGTGGTTAGTGAACTAAGACATTGATTTCTCACAATTTCAAGGCTAAAAACCACTCTACAATCATACCAAACAGCAAGCTATCAGTCATTGCTTACATAATTTGGTTTTAGAATTAGGAGCAGTTTTTTACTCTTCTATATTGGACACCTGCTCCTTTAGTTACAAAGATCCCCATTGATGAATGTATATCACCGCCCTTAGTTTTGAAAGAGGGATGGTTGAATCCCTTCTCAACCTTTCTACAAGAAGCCTGCAAAATCCATCCTTAATGTATACTTTGAATAAGTATCTGCATGACTGTATGTTCGTTGTACATTATATTTCTCTTGCGGTTTCTTTTATACAACTCAAATGAATAATAAGATGAACCCCAATTGGTGAATGAAACTTCTATCTATTCCATACCCACATTAGCAACTGCCACTGCTTGTGTGCCTCCTTTGCAGTTTCATGGTGCAACTATCCTATAAATAGTACTCCTACCCCACTCTCCTTAATTACTTCCGATCTTATATCGGCTTATTGTGCTCCCATGAAATGCCTTTTGGACTGCTCCCGTTGGTTGATTTGAGCATACCTTGAAAATTTCCCTTCCATGAACTGAAGTGTTGTACTTTCTTGTAAAAAAATTTCCTTGCCCTTCCCCCTCCCCAAGCACCCAAAAAAAAAAAAAAAAAAAAAAAAAAAAAAAAAATATATATATATATATATATATATATATATATATATATATATATATATATATATATATATATAAACATAGCTCAATTCCTCCTAGCAAAGCTCCAAGATATTTTAAGTGACATGATCAGCAAGTTAAAAAGCAGGATGAAAGAGCTTGAATAAAAAAGAGATAAATAGAATGGATGTCATTATCTATTTGTAGACTTGAAATTGGGAAAACTATCTTGATGGCCAATAATATAATTGTTTTGCATTTAACACCAGGGGATTTAAAGTTTCATTGTGATCTTGGTTTTCATCTGTATGTAAATCTTGGGTCAATTAAACCTTAAAAATTTACAGTGACTGAATTTGTTTGGTACTTTGCAATAGATGTGATATCTATTACTGTTCTTGGGGCTGAGGTTGATCAAATGTCTCCACCTGAGCTTGTGAAGCAATTTGAGGAGGCCTTGAACCCCAAGCCTGAGGTATGGAGACTGTCACACTTTACGTTGAACTTTCTATTTGACTTATAAATTATATAATTGGTGCTTTGAGTGACAAAAATTAGACATAATGAAAGTTTAATTGGTGTTTTTGGTTTTCAGCAAGTTTAGTGGTGTT